GATTAACATTCGCTGAACGTTTTTATGCTACTTGGGTACAAACATTTCAAACTTATATTAGTTCAACATGTTAGATCAGTGTTCGGGGTCTAACATAAAACATGTCAAACACAAAATTAACATTCGCTGAACATTTTCATGTTACTTGGGATATTAGTGTGTGTGAAGTAAATTACTTTATTAATTAAAAACAAAACGTTTTCGACCTCGGTTTAGGTCCTTATCAATGTTTTTTCTACAAAGTTTAAAAAATACAATAATCGACAAATTGATCTAATAAAAAATACAAAAGATTTAAAAAAAAAATAAAACTTACAGTGACAATAAGTTGAGTTTGATGTACAGCTCAAAAAAAGTTGTAATGTATGGTAAAAACAACAAAAGATCACTACATGGTGTCGCAACTGAGAGATTGTAACAGTATACATCAGTTTAAATAGAGAATCAAAGTCAAGATCGATCGATTGACAATAACTAATCTAGACATCTGTATTATCAATAAATGGTAAATATACTTTATCCAAATTCTCAGTATCGCTATGCAGATTTAGATCATGGCTCTGACTCTTTATATGTAGCGTTTCAGATATCAGACGCTTGTGATAAGATCCTTCGTTATCCAAAATTTGTACATTTTCCCAGTCAAAATCGTGGTTGAATTTTATCCTATGGTCAGTAATCACAGATCTCTGAGATGAATTTCTGTTTATGTGGTTTCTGTGTTCTTTAATTCTTGATTGTAAACTTCTACCAGTCTGTCCAACGTAGGATGCATCGCAAGTACAATTTATTTTATATACCACGGCTGGACGAGATGAAGGAGGGAGCGGATCTTTAAGAACTTTAATGAATTCGGTCAATTTGTCAATGCTGTAAAAAGCTGTATGGAAATTTGTGTCATTAGGTAAAATTTTGGAAAATTTCTCCGCGAAATGATTAATATAAGGCATCACAAGCCAACTCTGTGGAGAGCTCTCTGAATCTACACAGGACAGAAACCTCCTTATGTCGTTGTTTTTGTAAAAATTATGTTTAAGTCGTTGTTTAAATATATCAAAAATAAAATTGCACGGATAATTATTGTCAATTAGTATATTAAAAATAAGTTCAAAATTCTTTTGGTGAAAGCTAGGACGAGATAAAAAGAAGGCTCTGTCTATAAGGCCGATAACAGTGCCTCTCTTTTGACCGATAGGGTGGTTCGAGTAATAATTTAGATATCGGTCAGAAAAAGTTGGCTTGTGATACCAGTCATGTATTAATGTCTTATTGTTTTTTATAATAGTGATGTCAAGAAAATTTAGTTTATCAAAGCCAACCTCCATAGTGAACTGGAGACGAGGATGATAGGAATTATAGGCATTAAGGACATTGTCAAATTGATCGTTAGGTACCAACATGGCAATATCGTCGACATACCTAACATGTAGAGGGGGGATGAAAGGAAATGTACTAATAACAGCCAGTTCAAGATCTTGGATTATGATGTCCGCTAATATAGGAGATAATGGAGAACCCATAAGTGCACCGTAAGTCTGTTTATAAAATTTTTTATTAAAAAGAAAGTAAGTAGAGTTAAAAATGAGTCTAATAGCTATAAAAAATTCTTCTTTAGGTAAAAAAGTATCACCTTCTATGAAATGCCATCTCTTTTCTAATCCGCTGATTGCTAGGTCCAGTGGAATGTTGGTAAACAAGGATGTAACGTCAAGGGAGATCAACTCAAACGAGTTATCATAAGTTGTATTGGAAATTAAATTGGCTAAATGAAAGCTATTGTAGACAAAATTGGACGGAGGTTGGAGGCTCTTTGAAAGTATTTTGTTTATGAATGTTGCGAGATTATGTAAAGGGCTATTAGTCGAGGAGATAATGATCCTGAGAGGATGTCCTGGTTTGTGGATCTTAGGGACACCATATGCGCGAGGGAGGATGGTTAGTGAACAGTTTAAATGTTTATGCATAAGATCTGTGATGTGACCACGGGATTTCCATCTTTTTAATAATTCTTTAAGAGATCCTAATATATGGTTAACCGGATTTTTGTTAACTGAAGAATAAGTGTCGATGTCCGACAGCATATTCTCCATTTCGATGATGTACGCGTCTCTATTCATAGTTACGACTGTGTTGCCCTTGTCGGCTCGTGTGAACACAACAGAGGGATTGTTTTTTATGAATTTAGTGTAGATGTTACAGCATGCTTAATCTCATTTTTGTAAGGTAACTTAGATAAATTAGACGGCCTCACCTGCTTGAGAACAGAGACAAATCTATTACGGCATTCAATTTTTTTATTGTTACTTAAATGTCTAATGTTGTTCTCAAAATTTTTTATCAGCTCAAAGATGAGTTTTTTATTATTAGCCGGAGGTAGACAGAAGTTTTCTCCCAATTGCAAAAGTCCTACGACTTCGGTGGAGATAGGACAGTTAGTTAGGTTAATGAACCAATTTTTTCTGGGTTGAAGTAATGATTTAGTGGAAGTGTTAGTAATGAAGGATAAGTCTATTGAGAATGTAGGTGATGGTTCATTAGGTGGTGAAAAGGAAAACTTAAAGGAAGAATGAGTGAAAAAACGATTGTAAGAGGAAGTGAGATTTTTTTGAGCTGCAGGTTTGCGGGGAGTTACAAAATATTCTAATTTTTTGTGTATTTTAAAAAACTTCGTTTTTATCCACGAAAGTTTATGTGTCAGCCTTCTGTTCTCAAGCATATGGATTCTATCCAACTTTAACATTTGAGTATTGAAAAAAGTATTGTAAATATGAAACGGTAAATCGTGTATGATGGTTCTGTTGATTTGAAAAATGTTGTTAAGCACATGTTTTCGATGTTGATATAAATCTGTGATCTCCAGGCGTAATATGCTGTTAGCTATTAGTAAGCGCTTGTCAAAATCACATTTCTGTTTGTAATTGTGAAAGGTGACTTGTGGAAAACAACATGATCGAAAGAATAAATGTTGCGGCAAAAGTTTCTCCTTTTCACATGAATTGAGAAATTTAATTTTGTTCTGAATCTTAACTAAAACTTTGTTAAGTTTAATCCACGTTTTTAGATTTTCCACTGATGATGTTCCGTAATAGAGATAGACAAAATTGAAAAAATTATAACGTTGCTGATTTCGCATTCTTCCGCCAGCGATTAAAGAATAAAAAGTGAAGAGAAATGCTCCAAAAAATATTCGAGAATTCAGAAAATATTGGCCGTATGGAGTAAACACAGTGTTATTAGTGTGTGTGAAGTAAAGTAAAAAGAAGAAAGTAAAATTTCTTTTTTCACTTACGGCGTTGGAATATCCATCTTCGTCGATCTTTTCAAAAGCATCCATGTCCGGAAGCGACGCTATGGGAAAAATAGCCGGTTTCTGCGGTGCGTGATGGCGATTTTGGACGCATCTTAAAATTTTTTCTGCAGTGGAATTTACTCGTCTGCAAATAAATCATACGGACAAAAAAATGTCGCGTATTAATAGTATATTAATGGATGTAATTCTTACTTCATTTCTGCTTCTATGCGATCTAAGCATTCGTGTATTTTCCTGGAAACATTAAATAATATTTACATATTAACGTTGTTATAAAAAAATATGCACTTTACACATACGTTTTCAGATACATTTTTCTACCACTGGAATATTTTTTATAGTTGTTTTTAATTTCTAATTTAATTTATAATTTATAACAGGTAACCCTTAGTAATCAGGTATAACAGGTAAATTACAGAGATAACTTCTAGTAAACAGATAACAGATTAATAATAATAATAATAAGATAGGAGCGAGGGGGCTATTAGAGTCCCTTTATGTCACCTAGATCTGTAAAATCTTCTGTGACTCTCGCTAGTTGCTTATCGGCCTATCTGCTTCAGCCCGGCATTTTCTGCCAGGCTTCGCAAATGGCTGATCTTGATATTTTTCAAGGTCCTCGGGCCTCACAAACATGCAGCCCAAGGATCTGAGTCTTTTAAGAGCTAAGGATGGACAGCAACACAGTATATGCTCGCTGTCCTCCTTTTCCTCACCGCATAACAGATAAATAAATACGTACAAATTTACCAAATGTCCGATTTGTCTGGTTGTGTTGAATGATGTTGATGATCTTGTCCCGTCGATTCTTTAATTCCGACATTCTAGTTCTGAGAAGATACGTCTCTGCGTGTTCCAGAATTTTTACAATGGTCCTGGAATTCTATAAAAGCATTATCGACGTAGCTTATCTTTTCATGCATGTGTGTCATAATTTGGTGTGAGTGATTGTATTGTTACAATCTGTAAAGTAAGAGCGTGTACAGGTTAATGTGTAGAAAAATTTATTTTTAATG